ACCGCCTGGACCGACAGCTCCTCCCTGACACACAGACCCACGTGCCACTGCTTGAACTACTCAGGAGGCAGCCGTGCAGGCAGGGAGAAGCCAAGCATGGGAACTGGATGGGTGCTTCAGGTTCAGGAGAACATGAAGGTCAGAAAAACAACTGTAGCTTTCTAGGAAGCTTTTCCTAGATTTAGAATACTGCAGTTCCCATTAATATATAAGACTGTACGTGCAGTCCATATTCCAGTAGGTTTCTCAACTATTTAAGTATGGCTAAGCACAACTTAGCTTCCCAGTGACATCATTAAATACTCAGTCCTCAGCACTTTGGAAGCTTTGCATGGCCAATGATAGAAGCCAACTGATTTGGTCTAACAAAAATCAGTTAAAACATCTGACAACAGATAATTCTGGATGGATTATTCTGCTTTAATCAGCCCTGGACAAGAGCAGTTATTGTCACGCACAGCTTGTTATTACAGAGCACTGAATAAACAGAGGTCATGTTTGTGGCACTACGTTCTCAAAGCGGGAGTGCGTTTTGAGGTATTGAACCGTGGTGCTCGGTGTATAAGGTTGAACTGCTTTCACAGCCTAACAGGTTGGCAGAAAGGGTGCAGGAAACTCCCAGGAGCAGACAAAGCAAGCTTGTAGTGTTTGTTTTCAGCTTTGGTCAGTGAACTTTGTCCCTTGTGCACGTATGTTTGATTGCCAGGAGTTTTCCTGTGCAGATAACTGTCCTCAGATACAGACAAACCAGCAAAAGTCAGTGAACTGACCGTACCATTTGTAGGATGCTACGAAGGCACAGTTCAAACAATCTGCCTACAGCCACAGCACCTTGAACTCGAGACTTGCCTATGGTCCAGCTGAGCGGTGGGCTGGTCGTTGCTTGGTTAGGAAACCCAAGATTCGCAGGAATTCATGCAGAGTAAATGCTGTGTTCTCAGTGGGGAGCAAATAATTCCTGCACACTCATCCCATAATACGTCATTAAAGAGCCAAAAGTGTTTTATATAAGACAGGAGCTGCTACTGAACCAAAGGCTAAAAAGACCCTTGTATCTGCTTTGAAGAACTGGAGGGAAGTTACTTTATCCTTCCATACAACACATGTTCAGAGCGCCCCAAAGCCCTCTGTAAGCATGGATGAAGCTTCCAGACTCCTGGAACAGTCATGGTAAGTATCCACTTTTTTTTTTTTCAAATGGGGAGGGGAAAAAAGAAAAAAAAAAAAGAGAACTGAGTCGAAGCAGAGGATTATCTTCACAGACAAGACAAAATCCCACATCTCCTAATCCCCTTCTCCACTGATGAAACCACCAGGAACTGCTAAGAAGCTAGACAGTACTTCTAGAAATACTCCCTGAAAGCAACAAACCCCTTAAACTATTTCAGTTGCAATCCAGGACTATATTTAAATGACTTGCAATATCTGCAGACAAATCATGAGGAAATGGTGAAATTTCTACCTGGCTTATGCTTGATATTTGCTTTAGAGCCACACTTCGAGGACACTTTGGAAAGGTCAACTTTCTTGTTCTGGATCTGCACCTAAAGAGGCAAAAAGAAACAACTCAACGCAAAGAAACATTTCCTGTGGATCTGGAGGCCAATGGGCCATCTCAAACATCAGGTCACACTTAATGAACCTGCACCCCTTTTCTACTGCATTATTTTCTCCTATTGATTTCCCAGCCACTGTATGCCAAATGCTATAATCAGCTTTAGCATTATTTAAAGGCCTGCACCAGCCAGAAGTGGTTAACGTGAGCAGACAGAAATTGAGACCAGATAAAACTAACAGATGGACAGTAACCAGAAACGGGAGTCTTGAGTTCATGGCACATTCATGGAATACAAAACCACTTGGGAGAGGGACCAAAAAAAGCCAGTCCCGTTGCCATGTTCCCCAGACTGTTTCTGCCCAGCGCTGGCTCTGCCTCTGAAGACATGGGCCATTGCCCGGGCAGCTCCAGACAGTCACCAGGACAGATGTGATCTCACAGTTCTACTCAGCCACTCTCTTGCTGTAGGGCCAGAGACATGCCACCAGCTCCAACTTTTTCTCTCCACCATCTTCAGTGTGCAGATTGACCCACATCTAATTGTCAGGCTTTGTTTGCAGCCTCCTCACAGCGGTCTTTCCTCCCTGCTGAGAACAGGACACCAGGAAGGATCATTGTGCCCAGATGGAACAAACTGCTCGAAGAAGCTGTTATTCTCAGAGACAAATCACTGGGAGTGGGGAAGCTATTTCCTTTCCAGTATTATTTCCTTTAACCTCGTTCTACCAGTGACTTGATACTGGCATAGAAAGCCTTCACTTCAATGAAAAAAGTGTTCGGTGATGCAATCATGAAATCGTGAGACATTCATGACTCAGTAAATGACCTTCTTCCAAGTCAATGAGCCAAATATTCTAGCGTGGTGTTTGCGCACATCAGTTTGAATTTGGGGAGAAGTGTCTTCTCTGGGGTAGGACAAAGGTGGAGTCAAAATGTCACAGGTTTTATGTCTTTTTTCTAAAAAAATATTTCATCTCCAACGCCGGGACCAAATGCATTGTACAGAGCCCCATTTCTGACATCTTTAAAATTCCTCCTGCAGCTCTAGATGGATGAAAAATTCCTCTATTCCAGAATTAACTTCTTGTCTAACTACTTGGAGATCTTTCATTTCATACAAACATAGGATAATTTATACTGGAAGGAACTTCTGGTCATCCCATCTAACCCCCTACTAAGTTGACACTGTAACTTTCCATGGGAAAAATCCGGGGTTTTTTGGTAGTAACATTAAGAGGATCACCTCTCCCAATCGTGTCAGCAATCACCAGCTGGCACCTACGTGCACAGAAAGTTCTGCTATAGATCGTCTCGCAGAGAAAATGAAAATCTTTTTTTTTTTTTGAATGTGACAAGAATTTGTTCACTTACAAGCTACTCAAAGCTTATTGAGAATTATCATGATAATTTGCAATACACATCTTTCTCAGGAAGCATGAATCCTCCTAGTACTTGTGAAGAGGGATGAGTCAAAGCCCTGATGTCTTGTTTGCTCAGAATTAGAACAGCACAGTTCAGCCTCCTGCTACACTGTTCCACGTTCACGTACCCTGACTCAGTGACACCAGACACTCCAAAAAGGTGAGATTGTGGCTACTGAATTTGATTTTCTTGGGGGTTGCTAGTAAAGTTACTACAGCTTTTATAATGAGTGCTTGTTTGCTTGGAACTGGAATAAAACTAAATTTATTTCACAGAATGCATTTTAAAATAATAATGTTTGTTATCAGCTAGGGTAGACATACCCAGTTATGACTCCTCATGATTTCACCTGGGGATCCAAACAATTACTCCTAAATGGAAGCGTATTTCTGGTAAGATTTCTAAAATTAGTTGTTTTGAGTTTGCAATGGGAGACACGTTTAAAGGCTTGGGCTTGCATTTATAGAACCAAATACTCAGACTCTGGTGCCAGAAATAAACTTTAGATCTGAAAGCTTGATACAGAGGCTCAGATGGGAAGAGTGAGCCTCATTCCTTTTAAGATTTTCTATCTCTGACCATTTCTCAATCCATCTAAGCAGGTCAAGCCAAAGGGCAGAGAAACATATGTACATTCCAAATCACCTTGTTAAATCTTCAACAACACATACACTGCCTACACTTTGTAAAAATCTACCTCTTTACTGTTGCTTTCTTTAAAAAGAGAGGGGGAAAATACTAAAGCACAACAAAAGCTTTTACCCAGGAAATCTATGTTTGTGTCTAGGTATTTTTGGCAAATATAATGTGAGTAGGAACAATATCTACTGCTTTTGAACATGTCTTCCTGGGTATCTTGGAGGGGAGAAGAAATTATCTCCGTGTATAGAAGGCAAAATGGGTACCCAGAGTGTACCAGCTAGGAACCACCCCACTTAGGTAGGATGTCCATCACTTCTACCAGAGCAACCCTAAAGCTGAATCATGATTTGCTACTAACCACAACTCTTGTCCACAGGATTCCTAAAAGCTTTGACTGAAGCCATAGACTAGAACAACAGACTTCCCAAACATCCCCATCAGCAGTGTGGTTCAGGAATTAAACAACTGGAAGTCTTCTATCAGAAGTGATCATCGTAACTATTTGAACAAGAAAACATCTTGGAAGAGGACACTAATATTACAGTGCCCCAAAGGGAGCGAGCAGATCTAAAAAATGAATAAAAGGAAATGCTTTTATAGGAAGCCAGACTGGCCACTGCGCCTCATCTACTCACATTGGTACAGGCAGTGCTGGGTTTGGGGGCGTTGGATGGCTGGGAACGACTGCCTGAAGCTGGTTTGGGGGCATTTGGAACCTGGAAATAATAAGCACTTTATTCTCTATTCTCAAAGCAAAAGGCTTAAGTAGTTGAGCAAGGAGAAAGAGTGCAGTGGTAAAAGGAGAGTGTGGAAGAAGAGAAAAAGAAAGCAGGCGCACACTTGTCCCCTAGAGTTGGGAATGTCCCCAGGACAGGACAGTAAAAAGGAAAGGACAGCTTTGATGATTCATTAGAAGAAAGAATAGTTCACTAATGTAGTTAATCAAGCAAGAAAAATATCTCCCACATTTAAAGCACATTTCTGTTGGCCTCAAAAAAAGGGAAAAGTATGTGTGAGACTTATTGTCCACTAAAAGGCTATACAACGTAAGAGCGGCAAAATTGAAGTGGCTTATAAAATACAGCTCCTTTGAGTGCATGAACAGTTGAGTGCATGAACAGTTAAGTTACAACAGCTGCTCTTTAACAGCATAGGCAAAGGGACTTCTGCCACAAAACACTGATTATGTATAAACAGTCTGTTCCAAACTTGGGTGACAAAACCAGATGAAATACGCAGTAGGAACAGAAATACACATAGCTAAAAAAAAGTATTATGAGGGCACCTAATTGACAGGATGGTCTCAACATCAGTTTTTCTTTCTATGGCGCAGAGAATTCTCCTGCATGAGCATTTCTAGGGAAGCTCCATACACACACGTAATGCACTCCTATAAACATTGGGTAAGTCACGGAAATCTCAAATAAGAATGGCAAATCCCACCACTGGTGAGAATCCACAAACTGGAAGGCAAGGAGGGCAGCAGAGATGTGTGTCCAGCGACTCTCAATGGGGAGTCAAGCTTAGTTAAGTGAACACTGCATGTGTGACTTCAACATCTGCCTCTTACCATCTTGGCAACCAACCTGTAGGGGGTCAGTTTGTCAAGAACCCAGATTCGGTTGCCTCTTGCAAAGATTTAAGGAAGAATTGGTCATGTAGAGTAAAGGTTCAGCCAGCTAGTCAAATACACATGTGTTTCCCAAGAAAATTGGCCACAGCAGTTTGCACCGTAGTCAGGCCTATGTAGCATTTGTATCTGCTGAACCAGACATGAAGCAGAACACAGACTATATGGCAACAGTAGGTCTGGCCCCAGAAATTGAATATTTGCACCTTGAACACTACACAAAGCAAGGATGCAGGGAGTTTCATTGAAGCTGGCACTCAGGCACCGGGCACAGAGAAAGCATCACAAGATGTGATAGCTGGACATCTCTCTTCAGGAACCCGGCATATTTAAACACCAATGGAAAAAACTTCCTTGGGCTTAAGTACTTCAGTGTCTTTTTGAAACCATTCAATCTTTGTATTTCTGCAAACTATCCCTAGTACAAACAGCCTAGCATAGATTTGTTAAGGTAGTACAGATTTGCCCACAAGGAAACAAGCCTGCCAAACTATAGTCATGTTTTCAAAAGCTTTAGTATCTAGATAGTTAACTTGGTTTTTTTGCCAGATACTTTCAGGATATAATACTCCAAACCAAGTACACAGACATTACAAGATTAGCCTTCTATTTTAATAAGCTCATCTCTGCTGCCAGAGACACCAGTAGCCTTTAAATTTAGAAATTAATCACAGCTCAAAGATTAAGCCCCAGAGTCTCTTCCTCCTCTTTTTTCAAAGTCTCCCTTCTTGTGAAACAAGAAGTGAAATTAATCTGACTCAGGCTTGCTCTATTAGCCAGTGAAGAGTAACAGGCACTTCTAGGCCACAATTAATTTCATTTTAAAAAATCAGACATCTAAAATAGGTCAGAGGACTGATGAGGTGCCTCCATTGACTGCAGAGGGAATCCATGGTGAACTAACTCCTGGGGTCAACGATGTGCACATCCTACATTTGGTCATGAATACCACGTAAACCATGCGAGAAATAGGTCAGGTGTATTTGCAGCACTATGAAACAAAAACACACATGCTCAACCTAGCATCCCATGGGGAAAAAAAAAATTTTTTCCAGCCTACATTATTTCCAGAAGCCCTGAAACTCTGCCACACCTTTCTGCCTGAAACACAGCATTTGTAAGACTGACATATAAAAACATAGTACAAGAGAGGGAGTTAGTAGAAAGACAGCTTGCCCAGAGCCCATACTTACATTCCCACCTCCAGGGACATGCTTAATATTGTCCTTGGAACCACACTTGGACTGAACATGGCTGTAGTTCGCTTTTTTGGAGACTATCTGGACCTGGAATGTTACAGAATGGAAAACAACACAAGGGAAGAGGACTGGTTAGAGTTGTCATACGACAGGCTGGAGTGGATGCTCTAACATGGTGGATAAACAACGAGTTGTGTTAAACTCAATCTAACTTTAGTATTAGGTGTGAAAGCAACTGAGGAGGAGAGTGAGAAAAAAGGTGAACGAAACAAGAGGCTGCACAGACAGTGTTAGTGCGAGAGCATAAGCGCTACCATGAAGACTGCTTCTCCATATACTCTACGGGTTAGCATCACTGGGTGGGTGCCTGCCTGCCAGAAGGGCCGGGCTCATCTATGTGCCTCGTGAAGCTTCCCAGGAGCTCTCTGGTGAGAGCTGCCCCAGAGCAGGGAGAGCCAGCTCAGCTGCCTCCTTCCTCCACGGATCAAAGCCATGGGACCATCACTTCCAACAACGCTATGAACGGCTCGGTGTCTGCACTTTATTTCCATTTGCCTGGATTGGTTCCAGTCTTGGGTAACGTCTTTCAAAACCTCTGGGCAGTAAAGCCCGGTCTGAGAAACAATTCTTCTGATGAAGGTTGTCAAACCTTCAGCTAAATTTTATCAGACAAGTCTTATGTTAATTAAATTGTTTCTCCTTTAAACTAAAATGACTTGGACTTTTTCAAAATGCAAAAGGAGTACGCTAAGTGAGCTTTTACTCACAAAGGTAGTAACTGAGTTACAGTAACAGGCCCACGTTTACAAAGGTTAGTTACGACACGTGTTTAGTCTGGGAGTTATTTAACACAGCACAAAACGTGGCAGAAGCTGTATCTAGAGTACTTTCTAGAAAGAGGTGATAAATTCGAAGCACAAAAGGAATCACCAGAACATCCTCACTTTAGCAGGTTTCCCAAAGCTCCTTAGCCAGTTCAGAAAGACTGGATTCAGTGCAACAGCAGCTCTGAAAATGTACTCGTGCCATGGCAGTTTATAATGGTTTACTGACTTCTCTAGAGGTACAAATCCCATCCATTCATTAACAGGCTCTGTCTGATAATATCTGAATTACACCAGCACTGCAGGCACTCCTGCCTCACTCCCCATCCACTTGTGCTGAAATATCATGTCACAACAGCTTCGGAGTAACCCATCAAATGGTGACCGCCTAATGCATGGAGTTAAAGAGTTTTGATACAACTGGGTCGGGAATATTGCAGGAAAGATATTAAGTCCTTAATGTTCTGCAATCTTAATGAAAGCAAGCAGCACTGAACTAAAGCTCTCCCTTCCTAGTTACAAACTAGTGCTGTGTATGAAGAACTGGTCCTAAGGGAAACCTCTGACTCAAAGTTAGGCCTAACTACCTAAAAGTGAAAATGGAGGAGACTGCTCTGAAAACATTTACATTTACAGCAGGCATGGAAAAGATACCTACAATAGTGATCTCTGAACGTGTTTAACTGAGAACATCTCGGGGTTTACAAGAAAGAATTGGAAAAGTGTCTGTGCAAGAAACAGTGACACTGACAGGAGAAAGCAGAAGAGTTGAAGAGAAGGGAAAGTGACTCAAAATGGAAACGTTTTCCTTCATCTCCCACAGAGAAAAGTCTGAAATAAACTCACTTTCCCATTGGGCTGTTTTGGGGCACCCTCTTTTGATACGGTTGTTTTAGTAGTAGCCATTTTAGAGACCGCATTGGGTTCAGACTTTCGTGCAGCAGCGGCTGATTCTGGCTTTTTCTCTATTTTCCCCTAGATGGAGACAAATGGATGATTTCAACCAGCAAAAGCAAAAGTGTGGGCAGGAGAGTATGGGAACACAAGCTACCCAGATAAACTTAGTGGCACAGATGACCCAGGAGAACTTCTTACATGCTGTAATTCTCAGACAAAGTATAATCCCATGCCCCAGAACAATAAAACTAAGGGGTGGAGGGGAAGCAACATCACTTAGACATGGGATGAAACAGGCACCCTGGGGGTCATAAAGCAATAATTAAGTTCTCCATTTCTCAAAAAGCTCATAGGTGCCCTTCATCAGTATCTCATCATTTCCCCAATGGTCACGATGGCAGGTCTCCAGGTGACCCCAGTACGTTATATTCTGCCAAAAAATTAAACCCAATCTTTTAGTAACCCAACAGCAGCGCAGGACCACCTCCTTCACATGGAGGACATTATACAGATCTTAGAGGCAAACACATCCACTGGCTGACTTTCTTTGCCTTCGAGCTCTAAGAGCTCTGCTGGATACAGATACACTGTGCTTCCATTTCTGATTTCACACCCACACACTGATTTGACTCAGGCTTTGAGATCAACAGCTGATTTAGTTTTTAACTCATCCAGTGCAGGTGGACCAAGCTAATCCAGCTAAACAGAAAACTGAATAAAAATTTACAGGTTTTTAGGAAAGAAAAAAAAAATCAGCAACTACCTGAGAATATCCATTCTTCTGCTAATCTAGATCCAGATAAGTGCAGCAGAACTTGCATTTTTGGGGGGGTCAGCATAAATCCTATGTTTCACTAACCTACCAGCAACAGAATTGTAAACAAAAAAAACCCCCAGCACTCCTAAGGCATTCTCATACTCTAAAAACATCCCAGTGTAAATAAGACTATGAAAAGGACAATTTTCTTCAAAAGTACAACTGTTAGGATTTAACACTTCTATGAAAATATTTAGAAAATAAAGGACAGTACAATTAAATGTAAAAATAAATTCCCTTAAACCAACACAATAACCCTGTAAGCTAAAAAGCTCTGCAATCCTCAGAACCCTAGAACAGTTTAAAATAACAGAACAATCTTACGTGTTCTTTTTGACCAGACAGCAGAAGGCTTTCTGAACTTCTATTTGGTTTCAAGCTACAATATACAGCATATGAAAGGGTCACCCTCCTGCTTGCTTCCAAGTTTTTCAGCAGACTTGGTTTGTCATTTCCAGAAACTGTTTTGGGGAGTGTTAGACCTCTAAGCTCGGAGGACTCTACTATGATATTGTACAACTAAGATACTCTTAACTCTGAAGAATAAATCCATGCTATATCGATGCTGTCTGTGACACACAACACAACAACCCAAGAATACCCTTGACTTTAACGTGCCTGAGAGGAGATTAAGGCTCCCAGCATGAAACGTGCTCTCTTGGCATCAGATTAAAGTCATATGCCAAGTTATTCATTACTGCTGACCTGCAGCAAAGATAAGTGGGCAAATTTGTTCCACTTTGTGGGAACCGAAGCCCTCTGACTACAGGCAAGCTGCTAACACATTTGGTCAGGCAAAGATGAGTGTATCTGTTATACAATATCCAATAAAGGTTTTATGATTATGCATATTCACAAAATTATTTAAACCCTCAGAAGAGGGCTACAGGTATATCCCTAAACAGTTATTTACATGGTAGATACTCACAGTGAAAGTGTAATTTAAGACCATTACTGACTGAGAGCCTCAAGTTATATCTATGTATACGCTTTTCCCTACAGCTCATTCAGCACTACCCTCTTCTTTTCTTGTGGCCACCATAGATTATCCAAAGACCAGCGTATGTAGACCCATTGCATTTCAGCTTTAGGCCTGACAAGTTGAACAGAGTCCCCGTTCCTAGACCTGGGAAAGGTGCTGCGGAACTTGCTCCTGAATCCAGATTTCCTGCATCGTAATGTGTTATTCTACCTTCTGTACCATTCAGCAGACAATTCCTCTATTCAAAGGCAAAGTTTTGGAACATAGACAAGATTTTGAGCTTTCAATACCAACTAGTTTCTATGTCAGGACATACGACAGAAAAACAGAACCACAGAGTTTTGAATTCCTGTACGTATGCCAGTAAACACATGAAGGCTCTTAAGGCGGATTCCTTCTGTACACTACTATCACTGCCTTGTTAATGCCTTGTGCATAAACCAACAACCCAAAGAGGAGCTCTGCAGAGCATAAATGAGAAGAGCAGTGAGGATACAGCCACCAAAATTAGCAAAGAGCACCCATAATGCTTAAGAGCTACTGTTCCAAAGTGCACATTGTTATCAAGTGTTAAGAAACTTACCTTTCCTCCACCAGGCTGATGTTTAATATTATCCGTTGATCCAATTTTGGAACGTACATTTTTCAGATCTGGAGCAGAAATGCTGCTGGTCGGGCGAGGTGGCTTGGAAACAGTGCTGGGTTTAGTCGGAGCCTTAGCAGTTGTTTTTTTAGCATCTGCTGTTGCGGTTGAGGTTGTGGTGGGTTTGGTTGCAGCAGGCTTGGTTTTGGGACGACTGGTGGCTACTCCAGGTAAAGTAGGTGCGCTGGAGGCAGTGGTAGAAGGAGTGGTGGCACTACTTTTTACTGTATTTCCAGTAGCACTCTTAGGGCGGCTCAAGTCGGCTACAATTATCACAGCAATAGTTGGAGGGAAGGGGGAAAAAGATGGGTCAGAGGCCATTTATACAAACTTCCTCAGAGTCCTAAAGGTGTACAGTGGCCTGCTTAATAAACACAGCCCTAAACAAGGAGGATTTGATTTAGATGGAAACTGAACAAAGTTACCTGATGGTGACTTTGCAGAGGTCTTCTTGGCATCTGCAGGCTTTGCATCAGTCTTGATAGCTGCCCAACACAAAACACACTGATAAGTATTTCAGAGTGGGAGTCAGTTTGCACAGATGAGGAGCCTGAGATCCTGGCACAGCTTCCCCTGGAGGTCAGGGGCTCTCCGCAGCTCCTCACATACTGATGGTCCTCTTTACCCACAGTCCCCATTTCTAACATGTTGCTTGAAATAAAGCATCTCAAGAATTAACTGCTCCGTTTGAACGCCTGGCTGAGGTGGTCCTCATTGTAACAGCAAAACTCATTCATGTTTTCCAGCAAAAGGATCAATTCACCATTCAATGATGCAACACACCTGGGGTATGGTTTGCATTTTGTTTTTTCTTAAATAACTTTCTGCATCTGACAGCACTCACTAACATTATTTTAATCCCGTCCCAATTTCATTTCTTAAAAAAAAAAAACAAAAACCTCCTCCCCAAACCAAAGCTCCTTTCTTTACTAAGTAGCAAAAGCAAAACCACATTTGTCCATCTATAACCTTGGTATTATTGCTAGATCACCAACACCAATTTTCTTGCACAGAAGTTATTGCACATATTTTGGTCCCTATTATAATTGTATAAAACCAAAAATCAATCACTAAACTGAACTACGCCTTTGGGCAAACACCAATGATCATGACCTGATTACATTCCACATAGAGGACAGTCTAAACCAGGAACGCATCTATATTTCTCAAAGCAGAGTAAAACCGCACACAAAGTTGATCAAGGAAAAAATCACAGACTGAAAAATATAAACAGAACTTATTTTAAAGAGCTCTTTGATCATGAAATTCTAGCTTTTTTACTATCAATGCTGAACAACTTTGGCTAAAATCTGCTTCATTTCAATAGCCAAAGGAAGGCAACATTAAAAACAAACACCAAATAGAAAAAATCTAAGTTAGAAATTATGAAAACCCTCATCTTCTAATACTTAATTTCCATTAACAGTCTTAGATTTTTAGATAAACTCAAGTAGCTGGCAGGGTATTTTATGGAATGCCAATATAGAAAAGAACAAGCAAAAGAGGCAGATAACTATAGGCCCAGTTAGTCTCAATCATTCCATCAAAACTTTGCTAAAAGCATTCAATTAAACACCACAGATAAGATACTAGCTAATGAGATGAAACACATTTGGATAATTTAATAAGGCCTAGAGGACAGATATATAATTAATACCAAACACTTCAAAAAAGGTCCTGCCAAACCAACCTAATCTCATTCCTTGAGACCTCAACTTTAAGTGGGAAAACTGTATGGACAGAACAGACTTAGTTTTGTATAAAGGCAAGAGGACTAATATGTTACTTTAATATATAAAGAGATGTTATTTCTACCCATGTGAGTGGGGAGCCAAATCCTGGAACACTTTTGACTACGTTATTAGCACACGATGTTGAAAACCTGGAGAATGATAAAGCTACTGGGAAAATGGTCTATAATGACAGCCCAAGACTTTGATCTTTTTCTGATCTGAGAGAGAGAGGTGGTCTTGTACAAACATAAAAGTCATTTTTGCAGGGAGGGGGGAAAACTGGGGGGGGTGTGGGGGTGAATTAAGCACCACATAGCCTGTGGCTCTCATTTAGTTGAGAAGGTGACTGACATTTAATACCTGAAAAAGTGAAACCATATAATTTCAAGACAAGCCCCTATACACACATTTTTAAACAGTGAGAATGACTAAACATTTGAGCAAGCCACAAGGAAGTGAGAGTCTCTGCCTTTTGAACCTGAAAAGCAAGAGCAGATGTCCTTCTGCAATATCATCTTTAGCCAGAAACTTATTATCTGTCTCAATGCTATGTAATGAGAAACTAAATTGTGATCAGAAGAGATCCAGGTCTCCATCACCTACATCTACGGATCTAGCTGAAGCTGCAAATACTGTACCTAAACTGAATTGTTAGTGTTTGGCTCGTTGCGATTCCCCTTCAGGCCCCACAACACTGTTCATCCTCTATCACAACCTGGCTTTCTCCTCTTCCAAAATAGGACTCCCTTCTTTTACCATTCATGACTCCTCTGTGCATTTCCAGATCCAGACAAAACAGCTTTCACTCCTGATGGAGTTTCTCCAGCTGACCTCATCTCTCCCTCGCCCACCCAGTTCTCACTGTACTTTGGCAACCTCCCACCACCCTCACTGGTGCAGAAGCCTCTTCCTCTGTACATCTTGCCACTTGGAACAACCTTCCTGCATCTCTGCATCATTGACTCCATCTCTTTTCAAATGTCATCAGAAAACACTTCTTTGTTTGTGTCTCAATTTTGAAGGAGAAATTAACTGAACTCATTAAAACGTATTAAGCATTCTAGGCTACAGTTTGCCTAAAAGACCACACAAAATGAATTGTACAAGGATGTCCACAGGATCAGTTAAGATACATGACTCTTGGAAAGTGCAACACTTCCTCTACACAGGATTAATTATATTTTCCCCTAGAGCATAAAGTATGGAATGTACTTTCAACATAGTTAAAACACTACTATTCTTTTGGGAAAGACGGGTTACGAATTCATGCTTTGGGACTCATAGAACAAAGCAACCAATATGTGTATTAGTTTTACATGTTTATTGGCATATTTTGCCAATGAGGTCTAGTCATTTGAAAAGACTTGAGAACACTTAACTATATTTTTATCTGATGTTAAATCTCTCAAGCTCCATTAAAATGAGAGAAAACACTGTTTTCAAGATGCTAATATGCTGCTCATGTTTCATACCGACTGTGTTAAACTCATGGGAAGTTCCCTCTTTGGCAACAGTAGGAGTGGGATACAGTTTTCTGATGAAGCTGATGTGATTTTAGCTCCAAATTCTTCCTGCACTAGTTAAAAAACCACCTCTGTTCAAATCTCCAGAAGAGGACTTGAAGCACTCAAACTAGTGCACCTGAAAAACAAAAAACGTTGCTTTTCCCAAGTTTTAAATGGTTTTAGTGTTTATTCTAAGTGTTACTATGGCAAAATACAGAGTTAATAGCATCCTTTTTCTTAAATCAAGCATGTTCAGTAGTTGTATTAACCCTGAATCATACAGAGCTGATCCAAGTTGGCCTTGAAGGTCATTCAGATTTGGTTTTCGAAGAGGAAGCCCTGGAGAGAAAAAAGTATGACCTACAGTCTCTGTGCCTTGGCATGGGGTCTTGTGTTGTATTAAAAGGATTGAGATTTCAGCTATCACTAAGCTTGACGTCAACTCCTGACTGACAGTTAGGCCAGTTTACACCTCTCAGAAGTACTGGTTAACAGCAGCTACGGCTTCTCCTAAGTGACTACATTTCAAGGGTTGGCTTTTTTTTCCCCCCCTTCTTTTTTTCTTTTGAATCTGAAGATCACAAGCTTGTTTATTAGGAGACTAAACTGATGGGGCCACAGGGCAACCTAAACACAGGAAAAAGCAGTCAGCGTACTGGAATACATGAGAACGACATCATAGCGTGAACCAACGGTGCTACTCAAACAGAAACTGGCAGCTGGTTAGAAAGAGAGATCTGAAATAAAACAAGAGAATACTTACATGTTGGCCTCTTCGGTGGAGAAGTAGCAGTATTTTTTGCACCAGCAGCTGCAGTGACTGGCGATGCCGCCGTTGTCCTAGGAGTAGAAGGGGAGCTCCTGACAGTAGTTCTAGGAGTGGCAGATGACGGAGTCTTTGAAAGTGAGGTCCGTTTATCTGTGGTCTTCGCATCTGCAACCTGAAAATGAACAGGCTACATTAAAGCCAGTATTTCACTGACAGTCTCTTCAAAGTGTTTGCCAACAAAAAGCCTGAAATAAATTGAAATTGTTTAAATTCTTAAACACGTAAGCTAGGCACCACTGAAACTCTATAATGCAGAAGATTATAAATATAATTAAGGCATGCAGAAGCGACTGACTATTCAGTGCAGGACACAGAGCACAGACCCTGCTGAATATTATAATTCATTCAGATCTGTTTCAGCATTAACGTGTGGAGGCCATTTACGATTTGACGAGGTTTTGACTTCTGAACAAAATGGAAAACATCAGTCCACTAGCAGTACTTCTGGGAGAGATTTCTTTCCTTTGCGTGCAGAAATGCTTCCTAAGCTAAGGCGGCATTCATTAAAACACTGTGGACATAAGAATTAGGTGTCCACAGTTCATTCCTCACTTGGAAAACTATTTCACATCTGTCCCTGGTAAGTCTTTGTTTGTAAACTGACTGATCTCTTAAGTATTAAAATACTGAGTTAATGCATGGAAACAAATGAGATGAGATTTTGATTTCATCAAAGAGGGATTCAGAATCATGCAAAAAACTTAAAACTGAAGACACTGGTTCACAGCGCTTTCATACTCTTTTTGTTATTATTATTTAGTTAGTTTTAAAAGACACTCAAATGCAGTTATTTAAGCTTAAATGTATAGTAGAAATGCTAGCATTTAGACATCAGCTGAAAGCTTCTGAAATAGACTTTAACATTCCCTTTCAAATTTGAATTCTTCTACCATATAATATCACAAATTAACATAGGGAAGATTCAAGGGACATTTCCCATTCTTAACATTATATGTGGATACCCTACTTCAGCTTTAAGATGCAACACTAAGAACTGTCCACAAATCTTCACTTACTGGAGAATTACAAATCTCCAATATTTCCTAAGCACATAAGTGTATTATCAGTTATCTTTGTACAGTTTTTATAATGACCAGACATTATAAAGAGACAATCAGTGGGAAAGTGTTCAAACTGATTTTTTCCCCCTCAGTATTATTATCGAAGCTCTCCATTCAGTGTTCCCATGCTCTTGTCTGGATTTAAGAGTTATCCTATATTTGTAGTGTATCTATATTGAAAAATCCCTCCTCCTTCAGTAACGGAAAGAAATTAAGAATTATCTTGGGTACTTCGTGACAGTTCACAAGGAAAATCGTGGTAATACAGTCAAGTTTAATTTTCTCGTCTGCGATGACACAATTAAATGCTTGGGACTTGATGCCGTAAGTGCGTTAATGGAAGCTGATACTAGTAACTGTGCAGCTCTCAACACAGCGAATCACATTCCTCATCTTACCCTCCCATGATTAGCACTAGAATTATGTTTTGACTCTTGGGTAAGACAGCTGGTAAGTTAACATGTAAATAGGTTCTCGGAGCTCCCACACAAAAGCAAATTGTTTCTTACCTTTGGTTTGGTCTCTTTTGGAGTTAAGGTGGAGGGACGTGTAGTACTGGTGGCTGGGCGTTTAGTAGTAGTGGCTGAAGTAGGACCTGCAGTAGGGCTCGTGGGTTTTTTGTTTGGGCCAGGCGTGGCAGAGGCTGGCCGCTTGGGGCTGGTAGCGGACAGGGGCCTGGCTTTCGTTGCTGCAGGCTTTGTAGATGATGTGGATGCAGCAGGCTTTATATTTTTTCAAAAAGCAAAATCCAGTATAAAAACAAAACAAAAAAATACAACAAAAAAAAGCGCATTGTAAACCAAAACACTGAGCTGCAAGAACATAAAAATATTTTAAAAGAAACAAAAAAAATAATTAGCTTTCTGTTTTCTGAGCATAACAAAAAGACTAAAATGAAGCAGCAGAAGAGGGCTGCCTTCGGAGCCCAGTGGAGTTTTGCCATTCAATTTAAAGCGAACAGGATTTATTCCAGCTACATCTAAAGCAACAGAAGGAATTGCTGGTAAAGCTGGGATTAGTAATCGGGTGTTCCTGGCATCTATTCCTGCATGCAATACACAGGACATTGCTTTCCAATTACACGCACACAACAGATTGCAAGCTCTAAATCTTCATCTGATCAACTCTAGCGGTCATACGTCCGCTGCCTTTGAGGGTACCAAGAACCCCCTGCCCTTACCACTGCTCTAAGAATTTAGGTTTGGATTTTGCCGAATGCTGCAAGCTTCTGAAAGCAGGTGTCACGTTTCATAAACAGCCCTAAAATAAGAGAATATCAGATCCTGAGCAAGATCTCTGAATGCTAATTGTAATGCAAATAAATGTGTTGTAAACAACTAGGAGAGTATCAGTGTAGCAGGAGTGTTATCCTATATGTTTACTACTTCTACACCACCGATACCAACCAGAGAATTAATTTAAAGCTTGCCACAAATTTATTAAATCCACTTTCAGTCATGCTGCTACAGGCTGAGTTGTTTGCAACTTCATAACTGCATGTCTTTGTTTCAGTAAAATGGTTCACGAATGGCAGCTCAGAAAACAGAACTTGTGTTGCCACAGCTTAAGAAGCAGAAAAGCTGGCAAATAAAAACCACAGAAGCGAAGACGCTGAACGTGAAACAACACCTACCTTTGTCTTCTTCTCAGGGCTGGGAGGAAGCTCTTTGTTGGGAGGTGCTGTGATATCATTCCCTGTCACAGCTTCAGCCGGTTTGGTCTCTTCTGGTTTTGCTGGGGGAAAAAAAAAGGAAGGGAGACTTCTTAAGTTTGAGCTTTTTTTTTTTTTT